CCGTTAAAAATTGAAAATGCCATAATTCCGTTAAAAATCATTGAAGCGGAACGAAATGCAAACTTGATCTATAAGTAATCAAGGTTAAGTCACATACCAAAAATCAGCTCAATATCTGCAAGTGTTTAGAAAAAAATTGCGGAAAACCCTTTAAAATTGAAAAGGTCGTAATTTCGTCAAAAATCAATGAAGCGGAACGAAATGCAAACTTGATCTGTAACTAATCAAGATACACTCACATACCAAAAATCAGCTCAATATCTGCAAGCGTTTAGGAAAAAAATGCGGAAAACCAAGTGGGACACACTGACAGACAGACAGAGGGACAGAGAGACAGACAGAAGGACGGACAGACTCAGAGGAAACCTACAGTCCCCTCCGGTTTCACCGGTAGGCGACTAATAAGCCCACAAAGGGTACATTCTGTTCCGTAGACAACATTAGAAGATTTGCAGTTCAGGTTTTCCCAAGCTTTGGTATAGAAGCTCTGTCTTGTAAGATTACTAGGAAAAGAAGAGTTTGTCATCAAAACACCACATGTTTTACTGGTTTATCCGAGGACACCGATTGAACTCTTGGAGTCTGTGTCCCTTACAGACTCAAAGGAGTGATGCCTTTTTATATTGGGCGACGCATCTGCCACTGTCGTTTCGTTATATTGTGTACTTAGTCTAGTACTCATGAATTAAAAGGTACGAAACGACAAGTTTCCTCGGGGACAGACTGTCCACCAGCAGAGATACATGTTCGGTTAAAATGTAATATGGAGATAACGATTAGTAATCAAGCTCTACTAAGAATTTTCATATACCTTAGATAATAGGTAAAGAATCTTCATGTTTTTTTTCTATAATGCTGTTAAAGACTGGAATACATTGCCATTAGAGATCAAGGAGATGAATACTAAACAAAAATTTAAGAAATAAATTTTTCAAAGTATTATGCTATATTCTTTAAAAGTACACTGCCTAAATTCCATTATTTTTTTTTTTCATGTTATTCTTTTGTTACTAACCTAATTGTGATTTAAGGACTCCATTAGAAATAAGCTTTTATTTAAAAAAAGAAGAAGGAAAGAAAAATAAGCTTTGATGGATTATCCTTATACGTAATACTTATCATCTGTATGTCATGTTACTAATGCTCAAATATAGATCTTGATCAAGTAGCATCGTGCTGAGATAATGTCTGGGTTTTTTATCTGTTATGTTTTATATGTGTAATCTTGGCATTCTGTGATGTTTTACCTGAAAAAAATGAAAATAAACGCATTTTCCACTTAATATGCTTAAACTGTCAACTTAAAAAAAAAATCATCAATCAATGAGTCATTCATTAAAATAAATGATTCAAATGTGTTGAAGATGACATTACTGACAACATAAGAAGATGGGCGTGTTTGGCATGTGATCTGCAGGAATAAGGCATACGAAACATTAATAGTATAAATGTCTACGATTTGATCGGCTGACCAGCTGGACATACTTTACAAAGTTACGCACATGAGAAAATGTTACCCTTAGTTTGAAATACTTTGTCAGATTTAATACATCAGTCCGCTTATCTTGATAATTACTACATGTATAACTTAGTAACGCTTCACATAAATAACAAGCATTCTGAGATTATTGCATTAGCAATACTAGTCCCCTACCGGCAAGTGTAATCTGGTTCCCGTTAAGAATTGAAAATGCCATAATTCCGTCAAAAATTAATGAAGCGGGACGAAATGCAAACCTGATCTATAACTAATCAAGGTAAAGCCACATACCAAAAATCAGCTCAATATCTACAAGCGTTTAGAAGAAAATTGCGGAAAACCCGTAAAAATTGAAAAGGCCGTAATTCCGTCAAAATCAATGAAGCGGAACGAAATGCAAACTTGATCTGTAACTCATCAAGATACACTCACATACCAAAAATCAGCTCAATATCTGCAAGCGTTTAGGAAAAAAGTGCGGAAAACCAAGTGGGACAGACTGACAGACAGACAGACGGACAGCTAGACGGACGGACAGACTCAGAGGAAACCTATAGTCCCCTCCGGTTTCACCGGTAGGGGACTAACAAGCATTGTGAGAGTATTGCATTAGCAATACTAGTCCCCTACCGGCAAGTGTAATCTGGTTCCTGTAAAAATTGAAAATGCTATAATTCCGTCAAAAATCAATGAAGCGGAATAAAATGCAAACTTGATCTATAACTCATCAAGATAAAGTCACATACTAAAAATCAGCTCATTGTCTGCAAGCGTTTAGAAAAAAAGTGCGGAAAACCCTGAAAAAATGAAAAGGTCGTAATTTCGTCAAAAATCATTGAAGCGGAACGAAATGCAAACTTGATCTGTAACTAATCAAGATACACTCACATCCCAAAAATCAGCTCAATATCTGCAAGCATTTAGAAGAAAAGTGCGGAAAACCAAGTGGGACAGACAGACAGACAGACAGAGGGACAGACAGACAGAAGGACGGACAGACTCTGAGGAAACCTATAGTCCCCTCCGGTTTCACCGGTAGGGGACTAATAAACACCTATAGGGTCTAGTTAAATGCAATTACAAGTACATGTGTATATTAAAGTATCAGTAGGTTGGAAGAATTGCTTTCCCTTTCGGTGCAACAGAACCAGAATTTATCTATTTTAAAATAAATTATTACATGAAGTTAAACTGACAAAAGAATTGATTGTTTGCACTAAAAAATGTATTAACGCTCCATGCGAGGATCGAACCAAAAATATTTCTTTTTCCTTGCACTGGACGGGTAACGCATACTACTGAGCTATCACCGCTACACACATTATATGGTATTTAAAACGACAATGAAGCACCGCATTTACACACTGGAATTTTTTTTTTTTTTGGAAAAAGTTCATTTTTTATCGTCTCTGGGTCTTCTCTCCATTTCGTTTCTTTGAATTAAAATGCACACAAATAACGTTTCAAAATGATGGAGAGATGACCCAGAGATAGTAAATCTTTAGAAAAACGTGTTTTAAAATGTAACATTTTGTACCAAATGACTCTAACCAATTTTCAAGGTCTTTTATAGCAAATCAAAATACAATATCGGAAAAATATTTCTCTTTCCTATTTCACAGGAACCCGATACATCAAAAGAATGCTAAAATTTCATCTGACAGATCAATGAAATTTTCATTTTTCAAGTGCGCCCAGATTCCTGCCGAATGCCAATCAAAAGCGCCCTCGTTCTTTAGAAAAATGTAACTTTTCCGTGAACTTTGAAAATTGAAAAATTTATTGTCTCGAGCGGGAATTGTCCTCGCCTTGCACGCCCTCTTTCGTTCCTTCATATGTACATGCTGTCAATGGTAGATGTAGATGCGTTGATCGTTACTTGTGTAATGAAGATCTGGCTGTCCTTCTCTTAGACTCTGCTAAGAAACAATCCACCTTCTTTCATGATTCATGAGGAATCCGTTACTTTGTTTTCAACGTGTCTGTGATCGCATGTTGCAGATTTAGATCATTAGAGAGGTTTAGTTACAAGTGACGTAACAACGTGTACGCGTAACTTGGACGTGCACATAATATTTGACGTCGACGTAAATATTATGAGTTAGTTAAACTCACGCAAGTATGCAAATTTTCGTTAAAAGTGAGTACGGCAGATTCATGGTAAGGTATATCATATATAATTTCTATTGAAAATTCGAAGCTAATGGAAATTCATACCAAATACTAGTCATAGATAACGTACAATGAATAATAATTATCACATGTATTAACAGCTCTGTACCCTGTACAAGAAAACGAACGAAACAATGGAGGTTTTTTGTGTGTAGTATGTCATCAAAAAGTGGTGTAATTAGATATTTTAAAGCTGAGCATGACTCGTAAATAGGCATACGCCATATCAGCTTTCCTATCTCCGATATCAGCACTGGAGTATATAAACCCTTCGCATTCGTTACACCCAATTGCTTTTTAGCTTGTGATACATATATACAAATGACTTTGCCCTTTTGTAACATTTTATTTCATTGAATACCGTTTTACCCCTATTCCGGCTCTCTATGGTGCAACCGGTTGGATCACCAGTAAATACCGACATTGAAACTGCATCCTACAATAAAAGAACTGCCTTCTCCTTATGGATAATAACAGAGTTACTAAGAAATTGTTTAACTTTGATTATACCGTAAATAAAAACAGCTGGTCAGCAGAAATAAAGAAAAACAACTCCAACTTGGTACTTAATTATTTTACAAATGTTGTTCCTGTCTATGATGCCATGTCTACATAACGGATAGGTGCCATGTGAAAATTAAGGAATTAAAATACCCTGAAAATTTCAGGTGGTTGACAAGTGCAGATTACGTGAAAATGAACCCTAACGAGTGAACTGCCAATAGAGAGACTAGCCGCTATATCAATTTAATGAAGAGTCACCCGCGCGGCGCAGTGTTTAGAGAGTCTGCTCTAGGGTCGCGAAGTAAGGAGTTGATCCTTACGTCGCGGGTTCGAATCCCACTGCGGGACGTGGAGACCGGTCCTTCGGATGAGACCGTATAAGCCGAGGTCCCGTGTCGCAGTAGGTGTTGGCACGAGAAAGATCTCTCACTGCTCAAAGGCCGTAAGTGCCGAGTACAGGTCTAAATGAGCAGCCCTGCACCGGCAAGTGGTGGCATCTCAATTTGAGTGAAAAATTCTCGAAGAGACGTTTAACAAAAAAAAAAAAAAAAAAAAAATTTAATGAAAAACCTAGTGAAACATTATGTAACTTCTGTAACACTGGCTCTGTTTTTCTCCTAAAATGTGATGTTTATAACGTATTAGATCTCAGTTTTCCAGGGATTCGATACAAAAGTAAAAATTCGATACGGAAGTAAAAGTAATTTTTCTCTGTATACGTCACAAGTCACGGGGTGTGGAGGAACCCTTAAGTGTACTTATGCTACACATTCATCATAATAAACAAATTGATAGTACTTAATTACTTACTACATTTTGTGCAGTCCAAAATTTCCACAATATATTAGTCTTGTTATTTTTATTAACACTTCAAATCAGAAATGTGATTCCATAAGACACAGTCAAAAAGATATATCCTGAAAATGTACATCATGATTTTTGGACAACAATATCTCGAAAAAGTTAACAGTCAAACACTCTTTAACTCAGATAAAGTCGTATGAATATTGCCAAAATGATAAGGGCATCATGAAGGTCAAAGGAAAACGTCTAATTAATAACGGAACTGGTTTGTGAACAGGATCAACGTATAATAATAAATGTTAGTCGCAGGTGGCATCTTCGTCAAGGAAGGACGTCATTGCTGTTTCTCACAAATACACTACAATAGAAATAAAAGATATCAAATATACTTTCAGTTTAAATCACACAAAATGCTGTTTCTGAAGATTAAATTCATTGATATGCTTTCTCCGTAAATTCTAATTTTTCTTTACGAGTCAACACTGATTCAAAACAAGAAACATCTTAAATATTCTAATTCACATCGTCTATAACTGTGAAGACAGACCTTATGACAATGGGGTAAGTGATCTAACAGCTTTAAGGACTTTAATCGAGCACTACTGAATCTACCTGTGTCGTCTTTAGATTTTTCTAATGGTATCTTTATGTAATCTCCTTAAGCAATATTCAAGTTACATCAATCCTCTGTTCACTAGTACCCAAATAAGAATTTGCTTTCACGCAAATTCCAAAACAAATCTTTCATAATTAAAATGCACATTCAACATACCTTTCGGGGTAAAATTTCACAGACACCGCCCTTTTACTTGATAATTTTATAAAGGAATATAGTTATTCCAGTGAGTTATCTCCCTTGTCACAGGGCTAATAAACCTTAATGGGTTTTTTTTCTTTCATTCTTTGTTGCAGTGGAGCCTTTTCTCAAATATTAATCTACATTCAAACGTTTCTTTACAAATTGTAATTTTGAGAGTATTCAAAAAATAAAATATATGTACATAATTAACAAAAGGAAGATAATAACTTCCTGAACGTATAAAAAATCAATTTTACACGGTCATACTTGCATTGAATTAAATCAGTATACCTACCATACAACACCAAACAAATATCCAGAAGGGAAAGAAAAGGGTGATGAGGAGGTTTAATGCAATTTTGTCAGCAAATCTACAAATATAAAAGAAACAATACCTGCATTTAAGCTAGCGTTTTAAGTAACACCTTCCTGGTTTAATCGTATGAAGTTAAGAGAGTAATTCAAAAAATACGTAGACTATTGTCATTACTATCGTATTTAACGTCATCTCAAGCACGTAGCATCAGGGGGGGGGGGGGGAGGAGGAGGAGTGGGGGTAGTGAAGGTTAATTATTCAACCTATTCGAATATGTGTCAGAAGTATGGGAGAACATTTCCGCAACTGACAGCGAAAGACTGGGGAAACTTTAATTGGAAGCTGCACGTATTGAGACTGGCCTTCCAATTTACGCTTCTCGTTATTCTCTGTATTTTGAAACAGGATGGGAAACACTTGCTTATAGACGAGAAAAGAGGAAATTATGTTTAATGTTTAAAAAGATGGTCTCGCGCCAGAATATTTATCAAATCTAAATTACCTCCTGAAATTTCACAAACTATCCATGATATTATTGTAATAATATTGTCATACCCCAATGTAGAACAAATTTACTAAAAAAATCATTCTTTCCATGAACAATATCATTATGAAATGCCTTGCCTACAGAGATCAGAAACCTTGTGGTGACAAGGAAATAAACTAAATTTTAACTAGAATGAGACAGGATGTAAGTCTCCTTAAGTCAGATCTGTTTAAAATAAGCTTTCGGATAACACTCAGTGTTCTTGTGGATATACCAATAAATTCTTCCTGTATTGTAGAACTATATACTGAAATAAGAATAGAATTGTTTCACACCATAAGAAATAATAAGAAGCATCAGACCTTGATACAATTCTGTTTGGGGACGCAAGTTTACAAAATAACATCAACATTGTTAAAGCTGTACACGAATACATATATATTAAAAATCGTAAAGATTTTGATGCATAGCAAGCATAACCATTCTATTACTTTCATTCATTTCCTTGCACTTCTTTTCCCTTCCATTCCCATTTCCTAGCACTTTTTGTATTGTACATTCGTTGGTTGTACATCACGTTTATATAACTATATTTTCTCTGTGTTGGAGGGGACAATCTAAGTTGGTAAAAGTTGTGCCCAATCCCATTGATTATGTTTAAATAAGATATGATTAATTAAATCAAATCAAATCAACAATACCACCAGACCCACCTACATGTCTAACAAATGAGTCCACATACATGCATGTATACTTGTTAAATTACCAAAAGAAATAAATTTGAATTCAAATCTTTTTCAACTTCTCTTCTGTCGTCCTCTCTCTTTCTCTCTGTCTTGGGTCTTTTTTTAATTAGATTAAAACATCTTTTTTCCCATAAGAAAAATTGATATTGGACAAACCTTTCTTTTTTCACTTGTTGAATGACCACAGGGGGTGTTGGATTGGCCATCACAACAGTAGTCGTTGTGTGATGTGTATTCATGGTTTTGCTGTAATTTTTTATTCCTGAAATTACGAAGAAAAGTATGAGGAGTTTGCTTCGAGTTCCTCAGAAAATTTTATTTGGAAGGAGTTTTTGTAAAGTTTTATATTCGTCGGAGTTTTCTCTGGTCTAGATATACTTGGTCAAGGATAAAAACTTTAATAGATTTTTTTCATTTTATTTACAACCATACAGTTATTTCTTGAATGAAATTATAAAAGAGTCGAATTCTGGTTAACATTATAAATGATTGGTAATAGTTCAGCACAATGTGAAGCGGTTGTTTTGTATTACTAAAAATCTCCATTGCATTGTCTTTTTTTTTTAAATCAATACCGAAAATATAGATTATTACCGAAAAATTTATTAGTTTATTTCTAAATCAATGTATAGCATTTCCTAAAATCTTACATTAATATCCCTCATCCCAAATATATTAAACTCTGCTTTTTATAATTTCTTAGATTTTTAAGTAAAAGGGACCCTAGGGGTGAACTTCTTGGAGTAACATCCTATAATGGCAGAAACGTAAGCTCTCCAGGATCTTTGATTCTTTTACTTTTGTAATTAATACGTTGCCCAATTTTTTCCCCTCATATAATTTGAACAGCAGATCTTGTCAATGTTAGTAGGGGCTGACCCAGTCACTATACAGGATATGTATTGGTGAGAACTTAAATAATTTTTGTTTTAATTTTAGTCATGCTTTTCCTGCTTGAATTTTTTTTTTGGGGGGGGGGGGTTAAACAAGAACAAAAAGAACAATTTACGGAACAAAAAAAAGATTAAAAACAATGCTGTATAACCATCTTCAAATTCAAGCCTCATTAAACTTATAAATCAATGTATGTATCTTTGCTCATTATGTAAATTACGTTAACTGACTCACCAGAATGTAGCATACTCACCGTTTTCACTATTATGGTAGTCTGTTTATGGACGGTACTATTGGTATTCACTGTCCAGCAGATCGGTTGATTTAATGACACTGAAAAGAATCACGTGGCTCCTAGTTTTGTTTAGATTTTACAATTGACAACTGAAATTATCTAAATTTTCTTACATTTTCCCGGATGTTCAAATAAATTTGCTTAATGTCTTACCTTTTCAGCTCACTAAACTACTCCTGTTGGCTTTGTTCAAGTTCTCTAAATAATGACATAAGAATCACGTGACTTCTGAGTTTTGTTCACCAGAGAGAAGGCAGTGGTGGATCCTATCGAGTATTTACATCAGAAGAGGTGTTAACTATGTTCTGCAGTTTTCAGTAAATTAAAATTGTTTCTCATCGTAATTTGGGCTCTTCGTCCGTAATTTATTGTTTTCAATACATTGGTTTTATTTTCTAATGAACTTTTGATAACTAATAAATGAATATGATTTTTTATTGTTACGCTAATATCTACTTTTTCAGCATGTATCATGCATAAATGTCATTCTGAATATCTATATATCGAGGTAATATGGTTTTAAGTATATTCCTATATATCATTGCTAAAGTATTAATACGACATAAATAAAAAAAATAAAAATTCGGAGCACAACCAGCACGGAAGCGTAATTTTTGGGGATCAATCCGTATACGTAATCTATATTTTAAAACAAAATGCGGAATAAATAAGGAATTTTCTCTGCATTAGTAGTTTCGTCTTCTCTTTCAGACGACATGCTACATGTACAGTTTTCATCGTTTCTCAGAACTTTGGATCACGTTGGATATGCTCCATCAATGCATAAGTTTGCTATTGCTTAAATAGATTAAATGTTCTATAATGACTATGATTGTTTGTTTAAAAATCTTCAAGAATGTTTTACAAATCTTTCAGCCTCTTCTTCTTCATGTTTAATTTCTAGTGTTCAGTTTGTTTGGATACTAAACTAAGGTTTCAGCATATATTTTCTACAGGTGATTTTTAAATTGATTTAAATCCTGTTATTTCTTTCACATAAATGAAAAGGTTTGGGAAACAGGCAAAGCCTTTAAATTCATCACATTGGCTTTATACAGTGTTTGTTAATTAATTTTGTTAATTCCTAAGACCTGTAGGGGCCTATAGTTCAAACCTTTAACTTCCGGAGGTTTTGAATGTTTTATATTTTTCTAGCCAGGCAGCTTTGCTTTAAAAATTATGCATCCTTCCTGTCACGGTAAATGGATAGTTAGGATAATCTAATTGTGTCTCACCGGGTCCACAGGACAGTGTGGCTCACACGATATCGGGATCGACATTCAAATAATTTTGATCAAAGATGTCTGCGCCCTTGAGAAGAATCACACGAACATGGAGTAGAATGTGTTTTATGCGAAAACGGATGCGTCTGAATAGAATTGGAGTGGAATGGCTGCAGATATTTTCAAATAGATATAGACTTTTTCCTTTTACGAAATCATATTGCACACACCTGCAACCTGTTGGAAAAGAGAAGGTGTACATAACGACACCTATCTTTTATGTTAACGCTGGTATTTTTGTGTTTCTGTTTTGAAATATATGCCAAATATATATCAGATGATTCTGTTTGAATCTATATACAATACAGCTTCAAACCCTGTGTATATGTAGTATACTGGATATGGTTTTTTTTTTTTTTACAGCGCCACATATTGGACACCTTTATACAGCTTTGCTGGCAGATGCAGTTGCCAGGTTTCACACACTCCATGGGAAGGAAGTTATATTTTCAACTGGAACTGATGAACATGGACTGAAGGTTTGAATGTTCAATTAAAGATATGCCATATTTATAATTTTATTTATGGAGCGTTTATTAAGCAAAGATTTTTTTTAAATGAATTTATTATAAATTTAGCACAACATATTATTGTATGATTCCAGATTCAGACCTCTGCTGCTAAACACAATAAAAGTCCAGAGTTGTACTGTGATGAAATATCTGCCAAATTTAAGGTACAGAATTCACCAATCAACATCTGCAAGAATAATCATTATTTAATTGCATTTTATGAGAGTAACCCCATGGATGTTGGTGACAAAGAACTTTGGTAATAATTATGTTACATGTAGTGCTGTGATTCTAAGTGCGGAAGCTTAAAATGAAATAATGTAAGATTTGCCTCATTTATTCTTTAAAAAATTTTTAAAAAGTTATTGGACATTTGGAAAAAAAAAAGAATTCAAGTATGTGGACAAATTCAGTACATTAACATTACAAAATTTGTCCTGTGGTTTATGTTGATCTTCATATTTTTTACTTGTACTTTTGTCATATTGAAAAGCAAACTTCATGATAAGTAGATTTTAAGAATAACAGGAACTTTTTATGTTGTAATACTGTTATTTCAGACACTGTTTGACAGGTCAGGTGTATCATACAGCTATTTCATCAGAACAACAGATGAAACACACACAAAAGCTGTTGAAAATTTATGGGTAAGTAAGATAAAAACACTCAAAAACAGTCTATGCGAAAGTCACTGGACCGTCGGTTTTTACCAGTAAAATTTGGTTCAGGTCGGTAAAAAATTCATAATACAGGACAGATTGTCCGATGAAAATTAAGGCCTAAAAATCTGAATTAATATGTATGAGGGGCATTTCAAAAGTTCTGGCAACTGGTATAAAAAATTTTAACTACATTACAGATTAAAATGACTCTGATACCACTGTAAAGCTTAGGCAAATATGCATTAGTAGTGACGTCATTTTACATTCAAAATGACGTATAGGTCTGCTAAAATGACGTCATAATTAGGTATACTCTGTATACTGGGCGTAAAAATGACTGATAAGGAGAACAATTTTTTTGTTGAGCAAAGAGCGTATTGCAAAATTTGCTCATTGCTTGACTTTACGGCAACAGAAATAAAAGCCGATTTAGATGTAGTATATAGAGAGCATGCTCTTTCATATCAAGCAATAGCAAGATGGGTAGTTCAATTTAAAGAGGGTAGAAAATCAATTGAAGATGACCCCCGTTCGGGGCGTCCAGTTTGTGCATATGGCGAAAAAGAAATCGTCTCTGTTCAAAATACGATAGCTGATGATGCTAGATATATTGAGGAAATAGCAGACTTAACTAACATTAATTCGTCAGCAGTTTTTCATATTTTAAAGGAAAACTTAAAGCTTAGGAAAGTCTGTGCTAGATGGGTTCCGCATCTTCTCTCGGAAGAGCAAAAGGCTTGCGCATCCGAGTAGAAATGGCTTCACAGTTACCAACAATTTATGAAGATTGTGACCAAAGGCGAATAAATGAGATTGTAACTGGTGATGAAACATGGATATATTTTTTTTAACCGGAAACTAAGCTCAATAATAAAGTTTGGATCAGTGAAAATGATACAAGGCCTCAAATTGCACGCAGAAACCGGTCTGTCCAGAGAGTAATGTATGCCTTATTTTTTTATTCTAAAGGCTCTGTTGCTCAAGTTCTGGTTCCAGAACACAGCAGTGTTACTGGTCAATTTTATGCAGATCATGTCTCGTCTCAGACCAACAACCAGTACTAGAGGAATAAAGCTCCTCTATGACAACGCACCTGCCCATAGATCAGAGGTAGTAACCAAATATTTAAAGGAAAATGGTATTGCCGTTTTACCACATCCACCCTATAGTCCTGACCTAGCTCCATGCGATTTTTGGTTGAATGCCGTTATCAAAGAAGCCCGCCGAGGACGGCGATTTGAAAGTCGTCATGCAGTCGGAAGTGCCGTATTCCAGTGTATGAAGCGTATACCGATAGAGGACTATAGGGCAGCATTTTCCACATGGATTTCAAGACTGAAAAAGTGTGTCCAGGTCAACGGAGACTATTTTGAGGGATTGATATAATTTAATTTATGATAATGACGCTCATTAATTTACCACACACCAGTTGCCAGAACTTTTGAAATGCCCCTCGTACATATGGTTTTATTTTCCACACACATCCTTTATTCGATCCATTTATTTGATCAATTTAGCAGTAATTTTAATCTATAACAATCCTGTCATGATCGTTTATTTCCAATTCAAATTTCCTCTGTCATGGAAATTAGATCTAGAGATAACTCATACATAGATTCGGTTGGGGGAAATTATTTTCATTATTAAACAAGAATAACCCTAATGAGATACTTCAGGAAAGAAATTTTAAAGTGCATTTTACAGTTTAAAAAAAAAATCTTTGACAATGTGTAATTTGATTGTATGTGTCAATTAGCCAGAAAAAGAGAAAATTGTATGGAATTGTATGCTACCTTTTAAACAGGAAAATTATTAATAATAAGCTTGATCATTTCATAATCTCAAATCTTGATCTATTTGAGGTTCAATTTAACAGTGAGATTACCCCCCCCCCCTTTTTTCAATCTCTGTATCATACTGATGTAGGATTGAATTTTAAAGAACAAGGTCGGTCTGGTAAGTAAATGCGTGGTCTGATAAAATATATATTTTTACCAGACCTTATGTCCTGTAAAAATTTTTGACTTTCACATAGACTGCAAAAAGCTTCATGAACTCATAGGTAAGTTTGAAACTGCTAGTTGCTGTCATTTTGAAGCCTCCTATGGTTAGAATTATGTCGTGTCAAATCATCATGTTGAAATAGCTGAGATGGCTAAAATTCATTGAAAGGAGAGAGAAAAGAAGATCAATAAAAAAATTAGATAAAGTTTTATTTGATTTATTTCACTGGTTTCATTCCATAAACAGACATGGAGATTTTTTTTAAATTTTGGCTAACTCTTATAAATGGAGATATATATATATATATATATATATATATATATATATATATATATATATATATATATATATATATATAGGAAGCACAAAGAAATTTACTTTTATAAATATACCCACTTCCACCCCAACCTGGGATTGAACTCTCAACTTACGGAATCTGTCTCCTAGCAGTACAGGAACAGCACACTAAACAGCTTGGCCATCTAGGCAAGTAAAAAAAACTAGCTTTCGATGCCGATGGAATACTCGAGGCATTGTCCTACACTACATAACTGCCCCAAATGAAGAAATATTAACATAGAAAGCACAAAGAAATTCACTTTTATAAGGATACCCACTTCCGCCCCAACCTGGGGTTAAAGGAAAACACCTGTAAAACATTAAAGCCCTAGCTCCAGAAGATCAAAAGTTATGGACAAGGTTAATGTTTCTGCAGACAAACAGATAGAAGGATGGACAGAGCAAATGCTATATGCCCAAAAATCTTAGACTACAAGGGCACAATAATCACATTTGGATTAATAACAAGATACAAGCTTTGACCCATTTCAAAATACAATCAAAAGTTTTATAAACAGTATTTACAAAATAGGTTTTTTTTTATGCTTACCAAATACATTGTTAAAGAAGAAGAATAACTGATTTTGTAGACAACACTAGTAAAGAAAGGCTATATCTATAAGGGGAAGTATGAGGGCTGGTACTCAATATCAGACGAGGAATTTCTTAGTGAAGACGAGGTCTGTGATCAAAAAAAGGAGTCGGGGGAAATCCAGAAGGTAAGAACAAGACTGGCGTACTTCTGTAAAATGATGAGAATACATAGTTAATGTTTATCATTGCACACCTTATCATATTATTACATTTTGCTGATGTTCAAAGTTTTCAGACTTACTGATTGACTCATTTTCCTGAAAGTTATTGCCCTTAGACTTTGAAATTTTTTAATTACATGTATTAACTGTTTTCTGGACTTATTTTTTTTGGCTGTGCTTGTAGATATTAAAAGAGAAGATTTTGATATTGATGACTTTCAGTTTCATTTTTACAAGAAAGTTATTCCCCTTGAACTAAAAAATATTCTAATTATTTACTGTTGTCATTACATTTTTTTTTTGCTGTGCTTGTAGGTAATCGATTGATTTTTACTATGCATTCTTATAATAATGACTTACAGATCAAGTTTTGAGTTTCATGCTGGACTCATTCTCGATCACCATAGTTCTGACCCTTACATTTTGAAAATTTTTAATTATTTATTGTTTTGTTTTGTTTTTTGTTTTTTAAAAAAAAAAACTTAGTTTTCTTTCCTTTTTTTTTCTTGTAGATTATAAGTTGTGGTATCAACATCTGATTAAAAAAAAAGAAGCTGCAAAATGTTATTCAGTAATTCTATTTAATAATCCTCTTGTGCTTACATGTAAGTGGTTCTCAATGACAGGTGTCGGTCAGCAGTGGACAGCCAGTGGTGTGGATGTCTGAGGAAAACTACATGTTTAGACTGACCAGCTTCAAGGCACAGCTGATTAAATGGCTCAACACTGGAGGTACCCACATTAATTCATAAAATTAGTAATGAACATAGCCTGGTAACTCTATGAATCATAATGGCTGGATATGTATATTATTAAATGATATACAGTTAAACTTTGATATCTCAAACAATGATATCTAAAATATCAAGAATATATCAAAGTGATTTGAAAGTCCCAATTACTTGTTTGGTTGCCTGAGTCACTCAGGTTTAGACCTCTTGTTGTTATGTATTTGATCATCAATATCTCCATTCCTCAGATATCTCAAAGTTTTTACATGGTCCAATTGAGTTGAGTTCAAGATAAGGTTTGACTGTATATAATTATTTGAGCAGAAGCATATATGATTGACTTCATTATTGTGTGCTATGTTTCTCCCCAGTGATATATCCAAAAACCTATATGATTGACTTCATTATTGTGTGCTATGTTTCTCCCCAGTGATATATCCAAAAACCTATATGATTGACATCATTATTGTGTGCTATGTTTCTCCCCAGTGATATATGATTGACATCATTATTGTGTGCTATGTTTCTCCCCAGTGGTATATCCAGAGGAGAAGAGATCTCAGGTAGACTTAGCTCTGAGGAATTTACAGGACTTGTCCGTGTCTCGTAGCAGCTCCAGACTGTCCTGGGGAATTCCTGTTCCAGGGGATTCCTCACAAACAGTAAGTTTTTGAAAAAAGTGTGGAAATAGAGTTAACGTGATTGCATTCCCAATGGAGTTCTTTCAGACTGTGAGAAATAAAATCTGCCTTGGAATTTCCTCCTACTTTGGAATCTGATATTGAAATTGCTGACAAATTGACCCACATTTTGTGTCACATGCAGAGGAGAGCGACACTTAGGGATCACTTTGCCAAGCATCTGTTTGTCTCTCTGTCCTTCTTTCACACCTTATGTCTTGATAACTGTTAGAGTTAGGGGTTTGACATTTGGCTCATATATGCGAGGGTTACCGACCTCGTGACCTTTGAATATAACCTTTGACCTATTTTCAAAATACAGCGTAGTGCTGATACACACCTATTCTTTGACTTTTTAGAGGTAAGTTTGTGCTATTTGGCAAATGGACTGCTTGTCATAAGCCTTACAGTCTACCTGACCTTGACCTTTGGCCTTTTTTCAAGAATACTCTGAATTGTTGTTATGTTTTATGAATTTTGAGAAATGTGGCTTTGTTAACTAGCATTTATAAACATATTTTTAACCTACTGACATTTTCTTTCAAATGTATTAATTTTTTTTACCACACAAACTAAAATTAAATGTATTCTGTTAGCAATCCTAAATCATTTGGCCTTTTAGATAAATGCCAGTTTTTCTTGACTTGACAGAAAAGGTCAAGTGATGTTCTTGATGGGAAAAAATGTGATTTTATGATTGCTCCATTAGTTGTCTTTAAAGAATAAAATGGAATTGGTATTCTGACTTGAGATCATGAATCTTGGGAATTGGTGAATTTAACATGTATTAATCAAATTTTTAAAAAAAATTTTTCTCAACTTGGCAGAAAAGGCTGATGTTGTCTCGACTTGATGAAAAAGCCCATCCTTTGTGATGTTCCGATTATTCTGTTAGTTCAGGATCAGTATATACTGACTTGGGCTTGTAAATCTTTGGGATTGTTGTAAAAAACTTCTATGGTTGAATGTTTATTTTTAATAAATTCAATTAATTATTCAATTTAACTTGAATTTATATTGATTGTAACTTTTTTGATAAATATTATTTATCACTGTCTTGCTATCTGTGGATATTTTTTTTCTTTGCTCTAATGCTAATATAATGTTTAAAAAAATATATGATCACCTTTTCATTTTATTTATTTCTTTAATGATGCTATAACAGGCAACACATGCATTCCTTGGAACACTCTAGTTGTATTTATTGTAGCTGGCAGATTTTTCTATCTTTGCTTATTTTCATTTGATGTTTTTTGCTCTTGATTAAATTTGAATTTGGTTATTCACTGCATGCATTCATGTAAGGAAATGTGAATTTTATTACATTTTTCATTTAAACAATAATGCTTGAATAGCAATTAGCAGAAAAGAACTGCTTGCATTGGAGAGTAAAGATTTCACGAGACATACCTGCACATGAATGTAGATATCTCTAAAAATGTGTTCTTACTGACAGTATATTTTCCTGTTGAGTGTTTCTTTTGGTTTTATTTTTAGATTTATGTGTGGCTAGATGCCTTGATGAACTACTTAACAGTAGCAGGATACCCTGGTCACCTACAGAACTGGCCACCAGATATCCAGATAGTAGGCCAGGATATACTCAAGTAGGAATTCCTGTATAGTACAATTTTATTATGGCTGGTGCACTTTAAAAAGTACATGTACTGAGATGTCCTTATCTGTTGTGATTTTGTGTTTTATTCTCAAAACACTTTATACTTCATAAGCTAACTTAAATATTTTAATCTTACTTTCTGAAACAATTTGTAGCTCACCTCAATGAAGAGGGGAGCTTATGTAATACCATTTGCATCAGAGTCCCAGGTTAAAGTTTTTGGAGCAAATTTCTTTCCACGTACTTCCATGTACTTTGTTAATTAGTGATGCATGGATGACACATCTTGTTTTCTTCGCAGCACAGTTAAGGCTACAAAAAGGGGGCGGAGCCTAATTTGTACGGGAAATGTTAACTATGACATCATACAAAACCAACAATTCTTAAAAATCCTACAAAATGAAATGATTTGCTATTTTAAACTATAGGAAACCATCAGACTACATCTAAACTTACTTTAACATGCTGTTTTGGCTTTAGTTAAATGCCACATAGCAAGGTATAAACAAGTTACTGATTGCGTTGCACTTGTCGATGTGACGTCATTTCGTAAAACCTGACGCAGTTTGTATGCAGTAAGTGGCGGATCAAGAAATATTTTCACAACAAAAAATGTATCCTATAATTAAATAAAATATTATTTAAAGATATTGAAGAGGCCATTGACTTGGATGCAATGTCTTCTTTATGATTTTATTCATATATATTTCGTAAATTTCCTATTTAATTGATACTGCCATATATTTGTATGCAAGTACATCATAGGGTAATGTAAGGGTCTTAATAAATCAATCTAGTGCAAGGGCATACACTCAATGGATCACAGGAAGCTTATACATATAAATTCTAGTCTGAAAAGTGCTGCAATCCTGGTGAAATCTTGAAAATGAATTAATTATATCTATATTTAATGCCGTTGACCAGCAAAAAATACAGAATGTGGTCATATAAATTTGATTTTAACAATGAAATAGCAGAATCTATAGAGGATCGCAGTGCTTTTCAGAAACTACGATGCGTTTTGAAAATATTTATACTCTAAATTTAGAATTTTAAATTGATTATGCCCTTGCACTTGTGAAATTTATAGGTGACCTCAATACTGCAAGTATATGTGCTATATCACGTGACTGCCGCATCACGTGACAAGTCTAAATATAAAATCTTATCGTCCTCAGTATGTAGTTATTAACCATAATTACATTTGTCGGATATCAATAAAGTACTGAAAAGAATTGCCACCCTGATTAAGAATATATTTTCAATCACAAAAATTGCTGATATTTCCATTGCGCACCTTAACTGTACTGCGTTCACTGTACCTTGGGTTTTAGATGCTGCATTTTCAGCCAATATATTCCATATAAATGACCAGGTTTAAGTTTTTGGAGCAGATTAAAGTTTTTGTAGCTGCTCTCATTCCAAGTAACTATAAGTCCTAGGTTTTCCAAACTTGCATGGATGATACATCTAGGGATGCACAGTACCAGACTTGCATCAGATACTGGATACTTGCTTCAGGTGTTGGATCCATGTTGACCTTGTTAAAGTTTTTTGGAGCAGGTTCATCTTTAAGTAACTATAAGCCCTATGTTGACCAGACTTGCACCTCTGATGTTTGGAGGTCCTTGTTTGCTCTGCTCCTATTTTGTATTGTTTAATGGACTTTTGAGCTTGAATACTGTTCGTTATCTCCATATATTTCATATTGCATCTAGAGATGCACTCAACCTTACTGGCTCCAGATGCTGGGTTTGACCTATATTTTCTGGATGATTGAGTGACCAGGTTAAAGCTTTTGGAGCAGATTCATTCCAGTGTACTTTAAGCTCTACCTGGAGGAAACCTGCATGGATGATGCTTCTTGGGATTCAGACTACCAGACTTGCTTATGATGCTTTTCCAGATGAATAACCAGGTTAAAGTTTTTGGTCCAGGTTCATTCTAAAGTATCTATAAGCCCTACGTGGACCATATTTGCATGGAAGATAATCTAGAAATGCACACTACTAGACTTGTTTGGATGCTGGATCTGACCTACCTGATTGGATGAGTGACCAGGTGAAAGATTTTGGAGCACAACCATTCCCAAGTAACTATAACCCAAATTCCACAAACTTGAATGGATGATTAAACTAGGGGTGAAAACTACCAGGCTTGCCTTGATCCTGGATTTGACCTATTATTTTTGGGATGAGTGACCAGATTTAAGTTTTTTAAAGAGGCTCATTCCCAGGTTACTCTAACCTCTACCTCAAAACACTTGCATGGATGGTGCATTTAGATATGCACACTACCAGACTTAGTTTGGATGCTGAATTTTACTTGAATTTTCTGGATGATTGAATAGAGAAAGTTTTTTGAGTGAGTTCATTCCCAAGTAAATAAAAATTCTACCCAGGCCAAATTTGCATAAATATTGCATATACAGATGCACACTACCACATTTGTTTAGTGTAGCAAGGCCTTGCTTAAATACAACATTCGTTGGGGTAAGCTATGTAATCTCTAATTACCTATGTTGATGTTCAGGTTTATATAAAATGCCATACATATATTTTCTTGTACCTTCCAGGTTCCATGCTATTTATTGGCCAGCTTTCTTGTTAGGTGCAGATTTAGATTTACCAAAACAGATTGTTTGTCATGCTCACTGGACTGTTGATGGATACAAGGTGTAGATTCTTCTGTAGTAATTTGTAAAAATAAACAGTAAAATCTATCCATATTGGCATTAGCAGTGTGAGAATTTTATATAAGAAGGTTATGTAGATATTTTCAAGACAAAAAAAATGAAATCCGCTCACCCACCTCTATTTTTAAACAAATTAGGATGAGAATCTAAAATTTAAATTTATATGGCCTAAACAAAATCTTTTTATACCCCCCGCAAACGAAGTTTAGGGGGGTATATTGGAATCAGCTTGTCCGTCTGTCTGTCTGTCCGTCTGTCTGTAGACGAGATTTTGTCCAGACCATTTCTTGGAAACTGTTGCAAGGATTTGTCTGAAAATTTGTATACTTATTCTTTGCCATATGAAGGTGTGCACCTGGTATTTTCATCATGATTGGATAATTTTTTTGCATTTTACAGGTGTTTTTTTTCATTTTTATTATGTGGTTTTGTCCGGATCTGTTCCCAGAGACTATTGCATAGATTTGTATGAAAATTTGTACACTTATTATTTACCATATGAAGATGTCCTCCTGGTATTTTCAACATTATTTGATAATTTTTCTGCATTTTACAGGTGTTTTTTTTTTCATTTTTATTGACTTGGTCATTTCGGGTTCATGTCTAAGGTTTGAGACATAGAATCTAGAACATCTGTACAAAAATGTGAACTACAGCTTAAAACTACTCATTAGAACTAAAAAAAAAATCACAAGTATTAAAAACAGTCTTTACATTACACAGCAGATAGTGTAAATCCATTTGTCCCTTTGGAGTAATGAGTGGACATGCATCCAGTTAAAGATTAATTAATGAGTTCAGTGTGGGAAGCTGTTAGGGCATCTCTGATCAAGCAAGTCTTATTTATATCTCCTGGGAATTGGGCAGAAAGAAATAAAGATCTCTGTCGTCTAAGTCTCTTAATTGTAATTTATGTCTGTCAAAATACATAGTTACCGGAACCAGCCTTTTATTTTTCAAAATGAGTTTGATATAAAGGTATTAAGATCAATTTGATTTTGTATAATTAATTATGATATTTTTTTTTTTCAACAATCAATTTGCAGAGTGTCATGTCTCACAAAGATGACAGATAGTTGCAAACTATTTTTTCAATGTAATTAAAAAACACTGTAATTACTAGCATTGATGTTTTATTAGGCTGCACCTTAGTTTCATTCATTAAAAATAATATAATGAGTAATTAAATTTTCACTCTAAATGTTTAAGCAAATTGTGAACACCTCTCACATCTAGAAAACATTAGTGATTTGGTACCTTCTCTGAAAAAAACCCAGCGGGGGGTATTTGTCCCTTTTGGACAGTTCTAGTTTACATTGGCATTGAGATACAAATGTGTGAGTGAACTAAATGACATTAATAAATTAGCACAGAAAAGTTAAAAATGTTTGTTCAACATGATTTCTACTTTTGATAATACATGTACACTTTTGATAATACATGTACAGTATCAAATATTTTTTTTTCACATCATGCCATTAATTGCAATGCATTTATTTATTGAGTATGTAGTTAACGTCCTTGCTGTAATTATTTTGAAAAGACACTAGAAATGTACAATTATTATTGATGGTAGTCTAATTCAATATTTCTTGTTCAGATGTCAAAAAGCAGGGGCAATGTGGTGGATCCAGAGGAGCGTATGAATAGATTGACAGAGACAGGATTCCGATACTTTCTGCTTAGATCTGGGACAGTTTTCACTAATTGTAGTAAGTGTAATAAATGTAACATCTTCTTGTGTTAATGCCGTTACTGAAATTTCAAATTTTATATCACATTTGGATGTACGGTAGCAATTATGGAGATGGTTATACCAATATCAGTAGTAGCATTACTGTTACCGAATTTCTGTATCAACTCTGGTACAATAGCCACTAAGTATCTTACATGTAGATGCATATAGCTCTTTTGTTTTGAGGGAATTGAAATGCAAGATTTGGTGTCTTTAAGTGATATTGACTTTGTTGTAGCTTATGATAATATTGACTGTTGTAGACTATATAATAATATTTACTTTGTTGTAGACTATAATAATATTAACTTTGTTGTAGCATATAATAATATTGACTTTGTTGTAAACTTTAATGATATTGACTTTGTTGTACTCTATAATGATATTGACTTTGTTGTAGACTATAATATTATTGACTTTGTTGTAGACTATAACATTGACTTTGTTGTAGACTATAATAATATTAACTTTGTTGTAGACTAATAATATTGACTTTGTTGTAGACTATAATGATATTTACTTTGTTGTACACTATAATAATATTGACTTTGTTGTAGACTATAATGATGATGTTGCTAAAGACATTATAAATGCAGAGATTGTGAATACATACCTAAATCTCCTGTCCAGAACTTCATCAAAATCCATAAACAAACAGGCCATATTCCCCGCCTTTGATGGAGAGGCTTTCCAGTCATTTTTCACAGAGGAAGAAAGGGATATGTTTAATAGCCTATCAGATTTAATAGGTATTTTTAAAAACACTATTTTATGTATTCATTTGCACTTCATTTTCTTTCAATGTAAAAAACATATTTTATTTGAAGTATATACAGTGAATTATAAAGAGGGTCCAATTTGTAAAATTAAGGAATGGGCATTTTGAAAGTTACTGTTTCAAATAAATGGTCTCTTTTCTTGTATGTTCTTATATGTATGTTTTTTTATTCCTTTCAGAAATATGTAATAATCATTACAAAGGATTCTTGTGTCACAAAGTATCAGAAGCCATTTTTGAATACCTCAGATGGAGTAATAAACTGTTTAATGATCATGAACCATGGCAACTGTGTAAGGATCCAATCAATGAGAGTCATGTGCGTTGTTTACTACATCTGAACATGGAAACATTGCGAGTGTGCTCAATTCTGTTACAACCATTGATACCAGATATTGCTAACCAAGTGTTGGACAGACTTGGGATTCGTGAAGGGCACCGACTGATTAAGCATTGTGAAGAGAGGAGACAAAGTCACAGAGATAGAGATCACCTTCTTATTGTACAGAAAAACTATATTATGCAGAGAATTAAATAACAACTAGAGCACTGATTAAACACTCATAAGTCAAAATTTCATAATTTTTATCATTATCTTGCAAATGGAGTGTTGAAAAGAAAATGTCAGCTTACACAAAAGTTATAAAGATTGAATTGTAATTTACAAATTTGATATAAGAGGTTCTTAGCAAACTTTTCTCAAAAAAGCTGACATGCCTTAATATGCAGAGCATATCTTGAATTCTGGGGTCATGAATTTCACAGTTGTGGTAGAGACGAGAGATACCATTGCTCAAATGACCATTCAAAACATTTGATTACTAGACAATATTTTCAAAGCTACATCTAGCAGTTTTAGTATATAGTTAAACAGCTAACTTCATGGGGATCATAGGTATCTTATGTTAAGGTTTTTATTACACATTAACCAAATTTTTAAATATGCAAACCGTTTGACTTTATTTACAGGAGTAGAAAAAAGACTATTGAAGATGATATTTATTTGGTTTTGGCCCAACCCCTTACATTATATTAGGACAATGATCGTGAAATTCATTATTTTTGACTTCTGCCAATAAATGATGTCTACCAGTGATCCACCCTTCCAGACAGCTGAAAATGTTTGAATGTTCACGGCTGACAGACTTTGCTGCAAAACTCAACAACTCGACAATTGTCGAAACGTGTATCAGAAAAATCACCAGAGCAGATCAGTGTAGTGAGAACTAAACAGTCAAAAAGTAAATTCCAACCTCTCTGGTTTTGAATTCTCGTTTCAACAAGTCATGGGCGTGCCAGCATTTCAAGCTTGAATACAGATTTAATCCTTAGCTTGATCCTGAGTAAAACCAAAGTCGTGGGCAAGAATTGTATAAAGAAAAGTAAATTTGAATTTTAACGGAGTCAACAGCAGAGTGATTTGCCGATTTTTAGCCGTTGTTTTTTCAATGTAAATCTGTATAAAATTGTAAAATTGTGTTCTGGGATCAATAAATCCAGTTCCGAGTTCAACTCAGTTCAGAGGCATCGGAATCTCTTTACATTCAGCGTCAATATCAGACCAGTTTCTGTTGAATTAAAGGTTAATAGGGATTGAAGTTGATTATTACCATGATTGCTTAACAAAACACATTTTTATGTGAAACATAATTTTTTAAACTAACTATATATGCTGTATTTTGAAGACATTATCGAGCCACACAAGATCAGAAACATTTTAGAATGAAAACTTCTAACATTTAGTTGGCATTGATATGCAATGTTTAAAGAAGTTAATGTTATCTCATTATATTTTCCATTTTGGTTACAACTGGGTGCTGTAAATGAATCCCCATTGCTTGAATAGACACCGTTTGCAGAGTGGCATGTTGCATGTGTCCTTGGATAGTTTTGGAGTTGCTAGTTAGCTATTTAATTTTAATATGATTCCATTAGCATATAGATTTCTAAATAAACATGATGTGAAAAAAATTACAGCTGTACTAATTCAAAAAGAAGAACAATCTCAAACGATTCGAAATTAGTCCATTATATATCTTACCGTTTATCGAATGACTTTATATTTTTGCACTGGATTGAGAAGCAGTTATTTCAATAAAGCTTTCTTTATCATATCGCTTGAAATTTTTGTAACGTAACATAACTTAAAGAACAAATCAACAATCTTATCGCTCTTATCAACATAAAAAAAGACATCTATTCTCGATCAATTTTATTTTCAAACTTTCGTTTTTTTTTCCATTGTAATCTACCATATGCAATGTTCTTTAAAGAAGAGAAAACAGGATATCAATGGAATAGATATATTTTTATTTTAAGTCTCTTGACGAGACTATAGCGCTGCTGGTTTACTTATAACAAAGGAAGACAAAAGTAGCACTTGGATTGAAAGTATCCAACAGCAATAAAAAGAATAATGATCCTTGGTTTCTGTTTTGGCAATATTTATTGCTATCAAACTCAAACTGTAGGAGAAATAAGGTTTTGAATGTATTTTACAGAAATTTCTATTTTAAGTAACCATGGCAACATTGTTGGTCGAAATCCAAAACTGATAAAGAGAATTATGTATCTTAGTGTAGTCTACTTGTGATTCGTGTTATATTGAAATCAAACCAAAACAGAAGGAGGAGCATTTTGAAAAAAAAAAATGTTTACAGTTAAACAGACGGACGACAGACACCTAACTGTCGCGTAAGCTCTTCTGGTCTCTGCTCAGATAGAGCTAAAAATGAACAAATTAGGAAAAACAAGTCCAGATCTAAATGACCAGCAATTTAAGCATACAAACTTTTAAAATTGCTAAACGAACTTGAGTCAAGTTTTAGGGACACAAATTCATTGAATATCAACACATTTTGTAGGAAAACCATTGAAAGAAAGATTATAGCGATGCAAAATAAAATACTAATTGTGTCACAAGATCCTAAGTATTAAATAGCAATTATATCCTTTTAAAGATTTCAGTCAAAATGGCTCATAAAATGATTGCTATCACTTGGTGTGAGATTTCATGCATGCAGCTATTTTATTTTTAATGACATAATATGTTTACCGAAATGTATTATAATGATTGTCATTAGATTATTTAATCTGTCGGTGCCAAATATATTGTTTAAAGGAGACGTTCATTATTGTTGTATGTTTATTATTGCCTTGTATTGTTACCACACCTGAAAGTTTAAACATGAAGAATGCGGAAGTACAGTGTAGTAGTTTTTAATTGTCATTGCATGCCTAATTCACAGAGACTGGAATTAATATAAACTGCAATGTATTTGTAGGAAAGCGTTTTGAGCTCATTACAAAAATGTATTATAACACAAAACTTTCGAGAACAAGCGTGTAACTCAGGCCCGTAGTCCCCCTTTTTTTCTGAGAATAGCCTTGTATTGTAGTTTTGATATGGATGTTTCTCCATCTACTCCACTTATTGTTAAATCCTCCATTTGAAAAAAAAAAAAAACGTTGCTTTGGGCCTGTGACTTTCGCCTTGTATGTAACGCCAATGCTGGTTTTGCCTTTAAATCCAATAAACACACAACTTTGCATAAGAGTGAATTAAAAAAATGACCACACGCATATTTAGCAACCTGCACTAAAAATACAGGCCATGGGAATAAATTTCTATGTCTCAGCTTATGTCTTTAGAGTGTCTAAATACCTGCCATATATATCATTGATATCTCAATTCACAAAAAAGTTATGCCCAAAAATGATGCTAAAAATGTCAGGAGTGCAACACCTTTTTGTGACATTTTGAAAATTCAATATTTTTTTTAAAGATCTGTGAAATAAATAATAATGGTTTATGTTGGAAATGTAGACTGTAGCAACTTTTGTTTGACCAAGTTGTGGTCATAGTTAATGTTAAAAAAATGTTATACCATGTCAGGAGTGCAACAGAAAAAAGTGTAGTGTTGCCAAAAAACATCGATTTTAAAAATCTTAAAGAAAATTAAGTCAAAAAAGAATTTTCAAAGTGGAAAACAATAACTGATACACAACTTAAAACTTAAAAATGTTATATAAATCACAAGCAGCATTAATGAGAGTCAAGTATCTGTGCATACCCAACAATGTCAGGAGTGCAACATTTGATGTTTTTCTTCCCAGCATGAAACAAACTTTTATCAGTATATAATTCTCTGGTTTTAATTTTGGAAAGTAAAGACACAAAGAACATTTTTACCAAATAGATTTATCAATTACAGGGTCTGTCTGTGTTTCAGATCTATATTACTATGGTCCGGAGTGCAACACTTTTTTTTTAAAGATTCAAGTTATATGATGAAAAAGCTTCTATCTATGCTAAGAAATATTCTTTAATAATGATCTATTTGAATAATTTAGTTTTAAATTATCGACAGTTTTACAATAAAGACCATTCTCTTTTTCAATTTTATCAATTCCAATGTGTTTTTATTTTTTCTTTCATTTTTTAATGAATGTAAAAAAAAATAAATAAATAAATAAACACACTGAAAAATTGTTGAAATTCAAGTAATTCCACCTCAACTTCACTGAAACAACAGAACAAGTTCTGATGTAATTTTCGCTTCAAAATTCTACTTTAAAAACGCCCATGCTCTTGGTCAGGAGTGCAACAAATATGTTAGAATTATTGCTGATCAAATATGAAAAAATATAAAGAAAAAAAATAATGAGTAAAATGTTTTTGGTTGATCTCAGTTGCTCATAGTGTTTGTCCTGTAAAGGAAAATATACTATAAAATATATTTTATCTTCTTAATATATATATTTTAGCTATAGTTTTTTGACATAAATAGGGAATAATTCAAGATATAAAGCCAAGTTTAAATACTTTCATGTGTTTTAATTATGAAGTATTTGGCTATAAATATTGCACAACTTCGTTACCACTTGATGTTGCTAACACTTTATGATTTTTTGTGCAACAAAACTGTTTTATAATTATCAATGATCTTCATCTATCCTCTCTAAAAAACAAAATTGAAAAAAAATGTTTGATACTATTTGATGTTCAAAACATTATGTCTATCAACTAATTAAAGACACTTTACAGTCAATTTAGAGAAACGTTTTCATCACTTAACACATATTTTTAAATGCAATGTACTAGTATATATATTTCGCATTGCAAATAATCATGTTTTGAAGTCTTGAAAATAGGAAAAACTTGTCTTAAATATAAAAACTATCATTTACAAACAAAGAATGGGTTATTGTGTGTTATAATTTTTAAAACTGTGTGAAATAAAATACACATCAAATGTCGGGAGTGCAACACAATAATGTAAAATAGGATCACTTCTAATTCTAGTATTTTTTGTAAGAAAACTTGTATATCAAAATTCTTTTTTGGCTTAGATTTAAAGAATTGACTTAAATGGACAAAAAGTGATTTTGTGGGAATTTTATTTCACATTAAAACTTTTCAAACCAGAATTGAAAAAATAATGTAAAATAACAATCAAAAAGCCATTCAAGAAACTTAATCAAGGTTTAGATCTAATCAATTATATCTCTGATACCATTTTGAAGTATTAAAAAAACTATCAATTCTTTTGATTATGT